AAGGAGTCGATTCTTGATCATAACGTTCGTTGTCCTTTCTTTATGATGAACGTTAAGTAGTTAAGTACTAACGTATGCTACAGGACTTATTTGAAGATTAGTTATACAACTATCTGATAACTAGAAGTGGATTATGAAACTAAAGATGAAAGCATGATCATCACCTCGCTTTTTCAAAGCTTAATGACTGATCAACAATAGTGTCGAAAATAAATTGTTTCGAAACGACTAGTGCAAAACATGCATTCTCCACTACGCATACACCAGTTATAAATGTTATGTTTTTCGTGAAAACATTCCATACCTGATATTTTAGGTTACAAAATTGCTTTGATCAGGTGGGATTGTAGTTTTCTCTATAAACTAAGATGGTTGGAAGCTCTGGATTCCTTGTCGGTCAGAAGCTATAATCATTGTACACTAAAGAAAACGAACACTTATGACTACCCTCGTGAAGCTTTTTTTCTCAAGCACATGACTTTCTTGAATTTCTTGAGTAAGAATCTCATGGCGTGTAGACATTTCTTACTCACATAAAACGCATTTTTTCCGATGTTATGCGCTTGACTTTCTTGACTCATGTGCTTGAGTTTCGTATCTCAAGAAACTCATGCGCGTGAGATTCTTGTCTCAAGCGCTTGAATATCTTATGCACCTGACTTTCTTGAGCCAAACTTTTCTCTGTCTTGTTTTTCCGATCTGCTTTGACCAACGAAATTCGAAAGTTTGATTTCGTTCTTTCAATGTGAATAGAAATAACTGTATATGAGCTAATCGTAACTTTTTTTGTACGGTTATTAAAAAAAAATGAAAGTGTTCCCAAAAAAAATCTGAGTCGTACATTTTGTAGCCCACACTCCGCTGAAGCCCCACAAAAAATTTCCCAACCACCAGACGCGAACTGACTGAGATATTTTAGTAACAAGGTCGGTTTCTAGCGCCCGACAGGATTTCAACGAAATATCAGCATCGTAGCCTGTGCTTCGGTTAATTTTTGAAAAAGATCAAACCATCTCTCCTTATGCTCACTTCTTCTCATTTTTTCAGTGTATATCTAAGGTGAAAACCATGTATTCGATTTAACTCTAATGTTTTCTAGTTGAAATGTTTATCTATTGAACATAGATGACATTAAGAAACTATTGAGGAAAGTTATTGAGTTTTCCTCAATTCATTTCGATAATTTTCATTTGACTCTAATTACATTCCTGCCCTACTTGCATCGCGTGCAATCTGTCCAACAGCTACATACTTGGAACGTATACTTTCCACATTTGAAACATTATTATTAACAGTTGGCGCAAGATTTTCAGTAGATACCACCGCACATGAATTATCTAAAAATACAATATGTTAACTTTATTGTTTTATTCATGTTATTCTAATTCAATACATATATATTACCTTGGGATATTTTCAAAAGCACAGGATTCTCACATGTGGTACCAGATGGAACAATGGTTGAAGGTTTTAGTTGTTGACCGTTATAATATACCTGATATTTTCTCGCTTCTTTTCCAAGAAGTTCTTCTTTCAAATCAGCAATGTCTGCAGAGTCATCGAGTTTAACCTTTTCAGCTTCATGATCTGCGATCTGCGCCCAAATAACGATTTTCGGCATTTTATCACTTGAAATATCTATAATCGACATACTGTACATAT